TTTGATTCTGTTCATGGTGGAGAATCCTGCTTCACAGCAGCAGGTTGAGCCAAACATCCTCTAAATGTGCAGGGTCATCTTTGAGCACCATTTCACTTTTCTTTCACCAGTTCACCGCAGTTCTTCCAGCAGTCCACACTTTCTCTGCTCTCTTTTTCTCATGGTCTTCTCCTTCTTTCCCATCGCCCGGCTTGCCACAGGTTTGCCTGCTGTGTCTAAAAGTAGCAGCAGCAGCAACCCAGACTGACAGCTCATTGGCTCATTTGGATCATGTGCAGCCTGGTGAAGACTTTATCGTATTAACAGGAGAAGCAGCGCAAGTGAAGTTAGACACTGTCGTTGGACAACATGCAGTAATTTATAAATGTTTAAAATCAGGTTGGTTGGTTACTTCTTATTGACAGTTTTATAGTTTTGTTTTTTTTTACTTGTTAAATCAGAGTTGCTGTATGCATGTTTATTGGTACGTACAGTTTATTGGTGTCACATCGCCTCCTACCTTCATTTCCATATAAATAATCAGTATCTGTATAAAAATCTGACATAATGCAAAGATTACAGCAGCTTGATATTGAATGAATAACAGCCCCATTAACAAGCTTGACATTTTGAGAGTGGAATTGCTTTAAGAAAAGAAAACAGAGACTAACCCTGTTTTTATAACAAATGATAAATGCAGCAAAATAATTTCCTAACTGTATCAAATATTTAAACATTTTTATATCATTAATATAACAACAAGTAGCTCCTTTGAACACATTTTAATCCATTTTCCTCGTTGATATGTGGTTGTACAGAGCGAGGCGCTCTCCCGCCCGCGACTGGGGATGGATATCTCGGCAGGCATGCAATTTTCAGCATAACACCAGACCACGGTCCGCTAATCCGTGACCTCTGCATTAAACTGAAGCCAAGAGTAACGAGTAACGTGTGTTTTACAAATGTAAGGAATAGAAAGTACAGATATTTGTGTGAAAATGTAAACCTATAAAGTGTATTTAAGTACCGTAACAAAGTATTTGTACTTCGTTACTTGACACCTCTGGATGTACAACACTACTGCTGTGGGGTCTTCTAACTACAAATCTAACCTAAACCCCAGAGGTAAGGTCTCCATGCCTAGCAACATGTGAAGTTCCTTTAACCTAAAACAACAGTCATCACTTTGATGAATCAGGGATGCCTTTTTTTCATCTTCCTTTTCAGCTCCTCTATTGAACTCCTTCTATTGACTTTGCTCCTAAAACTTACAGCTTCTTTTATCTCCTAAACTGCTTCAAAAACATCTATAGTGATGAAAGGGGACGACTTCTTGCTTCCACTTACTTGTAGGTATTGAGCATAGTTGCCAACAATCCACTTAATGGTAAAACGCACACAAAAAAAACAACCCTACAGTCTTTTATCTTGAGGAGAAAATACAGTGAGCAAGGAGCACTTATCCTCTTCTGGTCACTAATGCTGGCGTTGACCTCAGCTAATGCCCAGGGGAATCTGAAGCCTTTAAAGCAAGGAGTTAAAAGCAAAAGTCAGACAAACAACGTGTAAAATGGTGTTTATTGATGAGTATTTCACAGTAAGAGTTGACGGGGTTTGGAGAAAGTAGGACCATAAGTGTCAGGACTTTGGAAAAATTTAGCTTCTCTGGCATCTTTAGAGCAACAATGGAGAGAAAATGTATTTACTAATTTTCAGACAAGCTGTAATAACTTTTTTTAATGTCAATGTTTGAATATCAGGAAGTGAAAAGTTGTTCTTTCAGGCTTTAGAAGAAAACCAGACAATAGAAAATGTGCAGTGGGCAAAACAGAAAATAAGAAATAAAAAAACCTTTACTCCTAAACAATACATTTAGAAATCACTTTTCTGCATATATAAAATGGACATGATCAACTGTTTTTTCAGTTTATTTTTGATCATGTTACAATGTCAGATCTCCATTTTATCCCTTTAGCTATAGCTAACATGTTTTTAACATTTTTAATCTGAAAAAAAAAACACACATAGCAGCTTAAGACAGCGAAGTCACTCAGATGATGGTTTATCAAAAGTTTTAATTTATAAGGTAAATTGTAGAGAGTTTCTAATAAGCATTATATCCATTCATCCTTTCTTCCATGGCCATCAACCTTCTCTTCTGTCCACCTTTCTCTCTGTCTTTCCAATCTCTAGCCACTGGATCTTTTCACTCTTTAGTTCTGCAGGTTGTAATTTTTAAGCCTACTAAGGGGAAGCTGTTATTATGGACCCTTGATGTGAATGTACCTTTAACTTGACACCCTGTTTTTTGGGTGTTTTGAGGCTGACAATAAGTAGCTTTTGGCTTGAACTGTTTTGAATTGGCGGATTTATTAACACTGTTCATCATCTGGCTGGCAGCACTTGCTGTGGTGCTAAAGCACTTAAAGAGCCTCAAACACTTCTACTCCTTTTATTTGGCACCATATCAGGTACTCTTTAGCATGTTGACTGAAAAATATACCTTTTTATATGCTGATTGTAAAGTAGCTGTTATCTGCTAACCAAGCTTGAGTTTATTTTTGATTTTTGTCGTCCTGAGTCCCCAGGATAGGTTTAATTCACACCTTTCAATTTGTTTGGATTATATCATCTCTATATTAAACTCTAAACTGGATCATGCTGCACTGAACAGCTATCTGAATGGTGCACCCTCATTAAAAAGCACAGAAAAAAAAATAGATTCACCTTCAAACTAAAACGATATTGGCCAAGCGTTCTTCCTGATAGGGCTTATCCTGGTATTTGTGAACCCACTTGTTGTTTTAGGACTTACTCCCAGTGTGTCAGAGGGACTGAGCCATTACTCCCAATGTACCAGGCTGATTGAAGGGGTGTTTTTGTGGCCTGTGGGCTAGCTGTTGCTAGCTGGGAATTAGCTGTATTAACCGCTAAGCTATCGGTTGCCGTGGCATCAGAAGGGTCTCCCACATCATCGCTTGTTTCCGTAACATCTCAATGCTGTCACATCCAATGCATTATGTTTATTGGTCATTTCTCATTATTGGATTACCTGAAACTCGATTAATTTGACTATTACCAGAGACCATTGTCACACATCTATTTGCTATATCTCCTTACTGCTCATCAACAGTTAAGCCAATGGACTGAACGTTATCAGACTATACCTCAAGAACTCAGGTGAACTCTTTTTTGTTTGCAATTTCTTTCCTTTATTTTTCTGATTATTGCAGTAGCTTGTAGTGTTTGCTTAGTGAACTAAACCTAATGATACTATGAGGGATTATTAGTTTCAATAAATAAAGCACCTTTCTGTTTTAATTGTGGTCATATTGTTATTATTTATGCAGCAGTGACCAATAGCCTAAAAAGAGCAGAGCCTCCCTCCCTTTTGGTTAAAAACTTGAATAGACAGAGACAAATATTTTCCTTCTGGTTAAAGATTAATAAGTCTTCATTTACAAACCAAGTTATTGACATTACTGATGGTGAAGGCATCTTTGATCTAAACAGCCAGTAAGGTAAGCAGTTAACAGCTGTTATAATAATCTAAAGGTAATTATTTAGTTTTATCCTTGATTTCAAAACATTTCAATCTGAAAAACTCACACAAAGAGAAAAGACAATTAGGAGAAATGTATTGATACAATTACTTTGTCTTTGATGCTCAGACCTCGGCAGGAAACATAGCGCTTAATTTAGATAGATATGCATGAACAGGAGCAAAGAATAGGGCTGTTTCCCCCCAGGCCTGAAACTGCTGGTGAGTGGAGATAGATGGAGTTGGTCAGTCTGTAGACTGCTGGTTGGAGAGACGGTCTGCTGAGCTTTATGGGGAGATCCAGTGGACTGCATGAGCTGATACTAGAGCTTCACTCAGGGACCTGGAAGATGGAAGTCTAGCTTGGGTAACACAGGATGAGAGAACCTGTCCATGATGAGCAAGCATGAAGCGACAGTGGAGAGGAAAAACTCCCCATTGGGAAGAAACCTCTGGCAGAACCAGGCTCAACATGGCGGTCTTCTGCTGGACCGGCTGAGATGTGACAGGGAACACAGTACGAGTTCCGAAGGAATGACGCTCTGGGGCTCGAGCCGGGTGGAAACGGTGTCATCTGAATGCTGATTGGCTTTCATGGAGGTGTGGGTCAAAGCCGATTGGCTGTGTCAAAGGTGGATGTATGAAAAGCAATGAGTTTCTTCAGTTGAACTTCCGCCTAGGCTCCATATTAGTTAACTTTAACTCCCAGTTCTACGTAGTTATTAATATATTCAGAATCTGCTTGTAAAATATCAAAACATACCTTAACTGTCATGATTTCAGCGCTGATTGCTGACTTTATCAAGTAATTCCTTCCACCTGCTTAGCTCCGCCAGTATTCATTTGCCCTCATTTAACCGACCTGTTCCAGCTCCTATTTATGCTGTCTGTTTCCTGCCATCAGTGCCAGATTATTCTTGATCCTCTGGTGTTGAGGGTTCTCTAGCGGTTCTGTTCTGTGTGCCTGATCCTGATCTGTTTCTGTGTTTTGACCTTTGAGGCTGCCAGCTCCTGTACTGATTAGTTTGCCTGGCCTGTCTTCAGACTCCTGTTGGATTCTTCTCTGGACTGAACCTGGATCTGCCTGTTGGCTTTGCCCTGTGGATTATCCTGCCTTCCTTCGTCAGCTCGGATCTGATCTCCTCTCAGCTGCTCAGCCTTTCCGGGATCCGGGTCTGGAACTCTCTGGTAGCTGCGTCTTGTCAGTCGACAGGCTGGAATCATCATCATTCTCTGGGCACGGGATGAACTCTCGAAAAAGGTTAGTGACTCCTGCGTTCTTAATCATCCCCCCACCGATTATCATAGTCACTAATCTTGTTTCTCTCCAATAGGCGTTTCTGCCTCAGGTGCCCTATCATTATTTGAATAAACACTTTTTAAGTATTCCACTGTGTAAGCTTAATTCTGGGTCTTACTTTCTGAGCCATTACATCAGCTAGTCAAAAAGGCTAATTAAAAAAATACAAACGAATTCTGATACAAAGAAGCATCAAAAGGTTTTAATTGTACAGTTTTTTTTTTCTCAGAGGGACAAAAACAGTTTTGTGAGCTGCCATTTGTTAAACCGACTCTCAGCGTCAATCCAGTGCAAAATTACATACATACAATACAGGTTTTATCAAGTCCTATTGTAACTTTACATCATTGATGCAGTTCATAACTGACTTTACAACATCGACTGAAGGATTTAACGAGCTTAATACAAAGAAATGTTTGACATCCTACAAATCTTTCATTGATTTGCATAAAGTATGCTTATTTATGTAGTTGAGAAAGAGCCAGATGGTTTTAAACTCTACAGATTCCATCATATCAGTTTCAGATTGCAAGTTAAAAAAGAGTATTTGTAAAAACTGCTCAACTGTTTACATTTATTTTGCATAATTGATAAATAGTTCATGTTTTGATATGTAACAATCAAACAGAAGAGAGTAAAGCAATTAATGAATCTTCATGCTGGATACCATTAGTGGCTTATTCAACAGAAATGTGGGGTTACGTAGCTTCGTGATTGCATAAAACAACCCCTCAGAGGGCGTACGGATAAAGCATTTTGGTCTCAGTGCATTCAGACGGAGCCTCTCGATCACAGAGGACCTGAGCAGTTACAAAATCTACACCTAGAGAGGCGGCACAGGGAGAAAAAACACCAGAATATAGTATCAAAAAAGAACAAATTCAGTTGTTACATCCATGGATCAAGAGGACATAAATGCAAAAAAAAAAAAAAACAGTTTAAAGTTTAACAGCAGTTTGGTTTTGACTTTGAATAAAGCGCCAAAGTGACTTCTAAGTCAAGAGGGTTTTATTTTACCATCTCATTGGAGCTCTTGATACATTAGTTTGGTTCAGTGATTTAGAAAAATGGCCTTTTCTTGCATAAACAGATGCGATCAAAACAGGGAAAATGGGAAGGCCAGTACATTTGACTCCAGGATTTGCAGTCCATATTTACTTTCATGTCAATCATATGAAGCCGATAGTCCAAAGTCCACATTTCAGGGCGCGCAGGGGGGTGAATAGGGTCACATTTTTCATACACAAGTTCCCTGATGGTGTACAATGTGCTTCCTGTGTTTCAGACCCAGGCTTCTATCTTTCAAGTCCACCACTCGCTGCTGGGACGTGTCCACCAGAGCGCTTGCTATTGCAATACCTGAAATATAAAACATAGAAAAAGAGGAAAAATTACATGAAATGTGTCAAACTAATGGAGTAGACAAAATGGGATAGTTGGATGTTAACAGCATTGTTGTAAAAACCCAAACCAAATATTTCTGCTTTAATACATAAAGGTAACATGAATCAAAAATGTTTTAAATTCCATAACATATAAGAAAAATGATTAAAAAAACTTTATGGATATCAGACTTTGTGCATACCTGCCTTTTTTCAGTTAGCATTGTATATACCAAGTAAATCCCCCCGATGCACAGCCCCCCTCATGCATGACCATCCATGGTCACTAGACGAGCAGATATATCCCACATTGCTTTGCAAGAGCCCTCCTCACAAAACATCATAGGATTTGTTACAGCGGCCCAGAGCTGCAACAAATAAAGATGGCACAGGCACCGTGCAGGGAGGCGGAGTTACGTGACCAACAGGGAGTGAAAAGTAGTGATCATCTGCCTGAACCATCAGTGAACTAAGTTTACGATAAAGTCCCTGCTCTATATAGTGATGGAGGGTCTTAGGGGTTAGGGCGGAATTTTTCGACAGAGCTTTAGTTTACCTGGAATGCAGTAAACATGATGAATGATGTCACCTTTGCAGGCAGGTTTAGTGCGATTTAAAAACCGACAAAGGCACTGACTCCCTTTGCTTGGAGGGCTCAGTCAGCTGGTTTGCACAAACCAACTGAATATACAGTGCAGGAAATCTGCTGTGTTCTTTTGGATGCAGGATGTTTTAAGCATTTTACACTCAGGTGCTTCTTTGGGTGTTTTTATCAGGCGCTGGAAGGGGGAAAGCCGATTAAAGACAACAGCATTTATATCTGTGTGCGTGCACCTTTGCACAGAAATGTTTTTTTTGCAAAGTTCTGATACAGTGAACCGTGAAGCTGAGGATAGCCACCAGCTCTGTTTATCCTAAAACACAGAGGGCGGTGGATTGGCCTGCTGCTACAGGTCTGCAACTCTATGATTCGTTTTAAGCTCTTTTTCTCCAGCACCTGTTGTCAAGGTGGAAGTTTATTTCATTTTGAACAAAAAGTGAAAGTGTTCAGGCAAAAAGGTATTATTCTAAAATACATTCCAAGAAAAATCTTACTGGTATTCCTTTGTCTTTTAAACGCATGAGTTGTAGTTCTTTGGAACTGATTTCTTAAATGAAATGCAAATAAGTGGCTTAATGATCAACCCTATTGCAAAAGTAGATGTATTTATTTTTATTTTCCAAAAGAGGTAGGATCAGGCAAAAGAAATGAGAATTCTTTAGAGCTCACTTTTCTCCATCACCTTCATGCTCCAACTAAATCACATTTGTGAAACTAGAATCCTTACACGATCACAACAACTTATATTTCCTCAAACTTTGGTGAAAAAGCCATTGTTTATGGTCACAAAAGTGCAAAGCTGCTGAAATTAATGAAGAACACAGATAGGGCTGGGCGATAATTCAATAACGATATATATCGATCGATAGACGTGTGGCGCAATAGAAAAAAAGAGAGTCGATAAAAGTTCGATAAAGAAACACAGTTTTCCTTCCTTCTCATTGTAGCCTAGCATGTAGGTTTATGCTAGTCACTGCTTCCTCCCAACCAATCACAATCGCGGACCCAGGCACGCCGTCACAAAGCGCCGCCCTCTCAAACCACAACACAGAGCACATGAAGCTGTGCAGCAAGGAGAGGCGGAGGAAACTGTTTCAAAGAAGGGTTTTTGTAGTTCGGCAGTCTGGCAGTATTTCGGTCATGGCAAGTCGGACAAAAAACAAACCACAGTCATCTGGAAAATGTGTAGGGAACCAGTGAAAACGAAGTCTGATAACACAAGCAACTTTTTTTTATCATCTCAGCCGCAGGAGTACGAGCTGTGTAGGCCCCGGCGCTGCTCCCCTCGAGGAATCTTCAGGAATTTCGGGAAAATGGTGTTGGGGGGGGGTCCATTTATTTATTTGTTATATTTATTTTGGTCACTTTTCTGGTCACTTTAGTTTATTCTTTGTCAGTATTTAATAACATAACTCAGGTCTTTTAAGTTATTTTTCTTTAAAACAATTCTGTTATGGTTAAAAAAGTTGGTTAAATAAAGATTTAATTTGAAGTCTGTGTTTGTGTTTTTTATTACAATTAAATCATTTAGCAATATCATAAAATGTCCAGGCAGAGCTGCTCATAAAATATGGTTTCAAATGTTTTCAATAATTATCGATATCGATCAATATGCATTTTTTTTTTTATCGATAAGCTTTTTTTCTATATCGCCCAGCCCTAAGCACAGATGGATGTAAGAAACCTAGATCTGACTTACAACATATATGTCAGGTATGTTGAAACAGAAACACATCTAAAAGGAACTGGACAATGGACCATTGAATAAAAATATGATTAAACTGAATTCCCTTCAAAAATTCTTTATTAATCCTAAAGGGCAATTAAAGAATATATAATAACAATAAGATAAGATAGGATTTCATGTAAATATAGTAAAATATTAAAGTTTCTAGCATAGTAGGCCAATATTTTCAGTGGTTTATGTCACCATAATGGTATCTCTAAATAACTGTACTGACTCCCTATTTATTGAATAATAATAAAATTCAAAATCTTTTTCCTGTCGTATTGGACCCTACATAGAGTAACACCATATAGACTCTACAGGTCAACATTTACCTGTCTAATTAGCGTTTTCAGCAACGGACCTGAACAAGGGGATGCAGAATCTAGTTTCAAGGCTATTACTACCACTTTCCTTTAAAAGTCTATAATGTGTTTATCTGTTGAATTTGATTAGTTATTCATTTGTTTAAAACTGTAATAATTAAAACTTAGTAATACCACTGGTCTAGCTTTACATGCTCTGATGATATCAAGTGTTTTGATTGGTGTACAAATGCTGTTTCCAAACATTTCAAGGAAATCCACAGCTGTTACTGTATATTTAATGCAGACACACAACCTTATAGATTTGAAGCTTTATGGTTTAGATACCATGCATGGATGTTAGGAGTATTAGGATATATAAGAACCCTCATGTGAATATTTCTGCTTTAAAATGGCCTCCACCTTTGACAAATTGCCATTATAACTGTGTTGATTTTTCCAGCTGAACACACACATCTCCATTTGCAAAATTAAATTGGTCAAACATAATCAAATTATGCTGCAGGTGAGTGAAAGTGCTCATTTGCTACCTGGGTGACCATGCCCATTAATGCCATTGTTTTGTCATGTGAGTTGATACATTATTAACACCCCCCACCACCATGTGGAAACCTCCAACACTCCCCATGTTCTAAAAACTAATGAGGTCATTATGAAAGACAAAATTACCCCAGAACATGACTTTGTGCAGGTCTGATGCTGAAAAATAGGTATGCATTACGGGAAGCATCTGTGGCGGAGGAATTTGGTTGCTAACTGGGTTGCAGGCGGGTCACCCATGAATTCGTAAACTTCAAAGAGTGTGATCACTCTAAATGAACAAAGGAGGCATGAAATCAATGTTTACGATCAGCGGACTGTTGTGAAGTTTTAATACAATGAATATTAGGCCTAGTAGACCAGTAAACAACACCAATGATCTTAAGGAGCGGATGGAACAGTTTGGTTGCTTTTAGTTCATGATTTTAGTTGCATATTTGTGCCATGAAACCTATTCCTGTCCAGAGAAAGCTAAACAGTATAAACACTGGCCAATTTATTATGTAAACCTAAATTGTATATGGATCAATCTCTTTCCTGTTTGATAAAGCTTATAGTTAGAGTGGCTCAAGTTATCCTGAGCTATCTCTATAGTTATGCTGCTATAGGCTTAGACTGCTGGAGGACGTGGAGGACGTAGCGACAACGATACATGTTTTTGTTTTATTCTCTTGCTGTTCTTAAGTTCTGCAGTATTTGTTCATTCAACCCCTAACTTTATGTAGTCTCTGCCTTTTCTTACCGTATTTGGTCTAGTCTTGTATGTCTTGTGACATCATCCTGGAGGCATTATCGACTGGTCTGCGCCAGCAACATCTCAGATTATAAATTATTATAAATGTTTTTCAGGTATTAGTTCCTCTCCTCAACATAACTATGGGACCAGATTTACTGTGACTAACTATATGTGTTGTCTTTCATCACCTGGTTCAGAATTTGTCTGAACTATTTGTTTCCGTGACAGAGCCACCTGTACAGCTAGATTACCATTACTTTCTTAACATAGAAAGTATTCATGGATCTTCTATGTATCTTTTGTATGTCTACTTTTGTCTCCTTGAACCCCAGTCAGCCTCAGCAGATGGCCGCTCACACTGAGCGTGGTTCTGCTGGAGGTTTCTTCCTTTTTGCCGCATGCATGCTTGGTGTGAGGATTGCTGTAGAGTCAACGACAAAATGCAAGAGTATGTGTACTCTCACCGCATGCTAGTTCAGGGTATCTGAAGCGTGCAAAGTCAACTATACAGTATAAATGCATTGAATTGAATAGTCTTGGTGCAAGGCTGGATGGATCCACACCATTACATTTCATACTTCTTGCAGGTAAAATGAAGTTTCACTGAGACATTCATCCATTCTGTTCTCGTATAAAATGGTTTTCTGATGCTGTAGCCGGTCTACTCCAGTGCTTGACATGTTATTCTGATTTTATGCCTTTCTACGATCTAGAACCGGTCCACCCAGTCTTTTCTAACCACAGTTAGTACTCGACTGTCCCACCTGGTACCAACACCTATTTTATTGCTATTCTACTGCCTGTTTGTACCTCAGCGGACCTTCAGGGCTTCAAAATACCTGAATACAATTTTTGCCATGTGATTAGCTAATTAGCTATTTGTGTTAACAAATAAAATCCATGTGTGCTCAATGGAGCATAGCAGAAGTTCCAGAGCTTTTGGTGACAAGTTGAAATGACACTACTATTGTGCACATGCATGGGAACGGAGGAAAGGCATCACAATCTGCTGATGTGACTGCACAGGCATAAATTGGAAGGTTAAAAA